TTTTCTCAGTTATTGCTTTAAAACATTCACATTCTACTCTTAGAAAGATTCACCTGTACCCCTATAAGGTAAACCTCAGAAGTAATCCCTCCAAACACCCTCCCTCCACCCATTCCCCCCCCCCAGTGGAATGTTTACTACAGAAATAAGCCATACACAAAGTTGCCACATTCTCTGCTAATTTTCATTACTAAGGAAAGTGGCTTCTCATCTTGCCTTATCTGCAGTGAAAAAAAGTAGTCGAGTCTCCTTTCTGCTTCCTTCAGATAACAGCTGTCATTAACATATAAAATAATAGGCCAACTTTGTAATATGAAGTTTAAGGCAATAGCTGTTTTATAGTTTCTTTCCCTCAGTTCTCATAAATTAATTACAATAACCATCAATTAAATGTTTTCAGTTAGCATCTCTAGGACTTGCTATTTTCCTGTATTGATGAATGAAAAGGATTTCCCTGGGGGAATGTCAACTAGATAGTTATAAGAATGGATTCAAGATATTGATTAAATTATTCCTTTCTTACCGGGCTGGGTATAGGGTCAACTCCAATCACGTGTCAATTTCTTACATTTATGCAATTCTGTCAGAGTAGTGCAATTAACCAGATGTTTGTTTTCTTGAGAGCTGCAACTCTGGAAAGTTACAGAGGAAACAATCTCAATGGGTCAAGTGACAGCCCACCTCAGGATCCCACATACCTCCTTTGAATCTTACTTTCTTCAGTTAACAGTTCCCAAAAGCTTTAGTATGGTATCAAACAAAGTCCTGCATACTTTAAAAACTATTAGCAGCTCTAGGAATATGCACATTTTTAACCTGTTATTATAGATACTGTGTTTCCATGAGCATACCATCTTTTCTATATAGTAATTGTCAAGTTTTGGCAAAATAACTCTGAAGTATGATTGATTAACCAATCTTTTAATCCTATTTTATAAATAGTTTATATTTACAATGTACATAGGGATCTCTAATAAGATGATGTTACCTAAGGTCCTCTTTAGTTTGAGGTGTAGCATGTGACGTTGCACTTGACAACAATTCATATATTTTGCTGACCTCTGTTAATGACTACAATGTATCCAAGCTCTCATGCTTTTAAAAGTTACTCAGTACGGAAAATTCTTAAAGAACTTAAAGTTGACCTTCCATTTGATCCCATAATTCCATTACTAGGTATCTACCCAGACGGACATTTTGTTATAAAGATATTTGCACCAGGGTAGCACCTGTGGCTCAAAGGAGTAGGGCACCAGCTCCATATACTGGAGATGGCCGGTTCAAACTCGGCCCCAGCCAAAAAAAAAAAAAAAAAAAAGATATTTCCACCAGATTTATTGCAGCTCAGTTCACAATTGCCAACTTGTGGAAGCAACCCACAAATGGATCAACAAACTGTGGTATATGTATACCACAGAGTATTTACTATTCAGCCATAAGAAAAGATGGAGACTTTGTATCTTTTATGTTTACCTGGATAGAATTGAAACACGTTCTTCATAGTAAAGAATCTCAAGAATGGAAAAAAAGTATCCAATCTTCTCAATACTAACATGAAACCAATATATGAACAACTACTTGTCCACACAAATGATAAAACACAAATATAGTCTAGCAAGAGGGAGGGAAGAGGAGAGCAATGAGAGAGGGAGGAGGGAGGGCAACTGGTGGGATCTCACCTAATGTGTAAATGTGAGGGTGTTCAGCAAGCTGCCAGGGTGAAGGGCTCAACTACAACTTGAACTTTACCTTAGAACTGAGAACAATGTAACCTAAATTTTTTTATCCTCATATTAACTTGAAATTTAAAAAAAAAGAAAAAAAGTTACTCATAGCTCCTGTTTAATGTGCAACTATGAAAACTTTAAGGATATAATATTGAAATGACTTTCTGTTGAGACTTGTATGTGAGCTTGCTAAGCATATTCACATACAACTCTGCAAACTCATGGAGTTTTAGAAGTATAGCACAAGTATTCCCTCAATTGATTACCAATTATTATACATCTAGGCAATACTTTCTTCAATATTCTCCAATATTTCTTCATTATTGGAATACAATTCTTTTCAAAATGAGTAATGTTAGAAATAATCTTATTTGTAAGGAAATCTAAAACTTGAAAGTCTCTTGGCTGAGATTACTACACTGTCAATTTGGCATTTGTAATCTACAAGTCAAAAGATGAGAAGGACTTCTATAACACAGTTTCAAAAGTTAAGTAATAGGGCTTCTGTGTATTGAAATTTTTTAAAAAAACCCTAAGAATCATCAATAATAATAGTATCCTAGGGAGAAGAGTGAGGATTGCTAGCAAGTGCCACAGGCAGCCAGAACAAAATTTTAAACACCAGCCTCTCTTATTTCTATTTATTTTCATATATTTAAAGGCAATTGGAAATTTTAAGACCACCTATTTATCCTTTGTCTGCTTTTATTATATGGATATTTATAAAGTTTAAAAATTTGGTCTAACATGTAAAAATGGAAAAGAATTAAAAATAATGTAACAATATAGCTAATATTTTAACTGGAACATATGTTTTACATTTTCTTTCGGCAAATATACCTATATATTATAAATAATACTTAAATAAATACAAACATCAAATACAGACTTATACAATTGAATACATAATTTGTCCCAAACTGTTTACTTAAAAATATCCCATGAATCTATTTGTATAATCTATTTGATACCTACTCAGCTCAGTCATAATTCTTCAACCACAGAACATAAGGATACCTGGGTTCTTTCTTTTTTAGGCAGATAAACAGTATTCTTTGTATTTTTGCCATTTATGTTTCTTTAATTAATCTTTCAGTGATATATTAATATTTCAGTACTTTGTGTTCTGAGTGTATGCCAATAGCTCTTCAATAATTTCACTCAAGAATAACCAATTAATTACATCATAATCTCAAGCATTTTAAAACCTGAATCAGTGTGTCTCAGGTTTGAGATTTGTTTATATGAATGACAGGAAAAGAATTTTTCTTGGAGTCCCTGATTAGATTGTGAAGTGACTAGTTTTCTGTGTTTCTTTAAAATTGTTTCTTCCCTAGAGTTGGGGTCAGGGTCAGCTATTAGACATGACCAGTTCCCAGAGTATGTAGTCCCCTTCACAGGGAAGGAAGATTGTTTCAGGGCTTTCTAAGGAG